GGGGAGGAGGTCATCCGCCTCTCGCCGCCTCGCGGGGAGGAAGGGGGAAGGTGATATTCCGGACCTGCTGCGAGGCGACTCGTGACAGTCCGCTGATTTGATTTGCAGCTCGTGACCGTCGTATTTTTTTTCATTTTATTTGTTGGTTGTTATTTTTATTTACATACCACTTCCTCACATTTCGGTGGACGGGAGTTTCAACAGTAATGTGAAATGCATTAGGTTAGGGTAAGACCACGGCGAGGTAGTGGAGGGGGGGGGGGGTCTGGTGTGAGTAGGAGTGGGAAGGACACCGGCTATACACGTCACGGCAGCACCGGCGGCGGCACCGCGCTGAGTGACAACACTGGTGGCCGCCGACCCGACCCCGACCCGACCGGCCGGCCCTCAAGGGAAATCAGCGACACAGAGACCGGCCTGCCGGGGCGAGCAATCAGGGCAAAAGAGGGCAAAGCGGCGGCCGACCTGGCGGCAGCCCGGCGCAGGCCCGGCGCAGTGCACCGACACGGCCGGACACGGCGGCACCGCGTCCCGGCTACATCGTGCATCGTGAGAATCGCGAAAAAACGTCTCCGAACGTGCCCGGAACCCAGAATTTATTTTGGGGCTTCTTTTTTTCGTCTTTGAATATTTTTTTTACCGCGCAACTGGGCCGTGTTCATGTTTATTTGGGAGGCAAATGGTGCGGCTGCCTTTGGCATGGCGTGGCGTGGCGCTGCCGGGAAGTTCAACCTCCTTTATACGAGCAGGTGGCCGTCGGCAAGCCCCGCCGGTGTGTCACGGTGTGGCGCGGGCCCGTGCGGGCGCGGGGCGGGGCGGGGCGTACAAAGCGGATAGCGCCCGGCATAACGCCTTTACTGCGCCCGAGCCGCCCAGCGGCGGCCAGCCGTTCATCCAAACGCGACTCCCTGGCAGACCCACCTGTCCCACCCCGCCCCCGCCCCGCCCCGCTAGCAGCCGCGCGCTGTGAACCACGGCCGGTGGTGTTTACGACGAAAGCACTCCCCCGCCCCCGCGGTACCGCGGCGCCGCGCTCCGCGCCCAGCAATGTGTGCAGCAACAGCTCGCGGCGGGGCGCGAAAATATCCGAGCTTGCGAGCCGCAGGTAGTACCAGACTGAGCGCGCAAAGTCTGAGAGGGAAAAAAACGAAAAATGTATTTATTGTCTCCTGCCAAAGTTTTCTTGAAGAAAGTTATGCGCTTGTAAAAAGTTTAAAGTCTAAGCAATTGGTATTCTTGATCAAAGTAGTAACTCTTTTTGAAATGTCTGGCTCGAGGAATTGCTGATTCTTTTTAAGAAAAATAAAAAGTTGATGAGAAACCTCTTTTTTTTCTGAGTATCATTGTGTGTCTGATCGGGGTTCGATCACTCGCCACGCCACTGCCCCCCGAGGCCCCGATCGGTCAGCCCCTCCTCCCCCCCAATGGCCGCGGGTGGTTGAGAGGCGAAGGCGCGCCAGGGGTGGCCAAGGCCGTCGAGTTCTCCGGCGGCCCTGCCCTGCCCTGCCCTTCCCTCACACACGCCATCGCCCACGACGCACTTCATTCATAACCTTCCGCGTAAGAGTAAGCAGGGCCGATATCGTCTTCAAATACCGGAGGCTCATCAATATTTGCTTTCTTTCTCGAGGTGCTCGAGGTCTTGAATATGTGTGAGCGTGTGCGCGCGTCCTCGCTAACCAGTGGCGCTCGGCTCCTTCGCTCGTCCTTTTGCGCCCGCCGCCCGCCCGTCTGACAGTCCCCCTTCCCGCCCGTCCCCCGCTCTGATTGTCTACCCCTCCCCACCTCCAGCTCCGCCCCAGCACCAGACACTGGCCTTTGAGATGCTGATGACTCGCCGGGCGCGGCGCGGCGCGGCGGGCCGCCACCCTCACTCACACACTGAGAGCAAGGACTTCGCCGCCGCCCGCTTGTGCGGGAGAAAGAGAGAGAGAGAGAAGAGCGCCAGGAAGAGCAGGAGGAATAGGAAGGAGAAGAGCGGGTGGAGGAAGAGCAGGACGAGCCGCGGCGAGGAGGAGAGGACAGAGGAGTGAGTGCGCCTCCGGCTGCCGAGCCTCCCGCTGTCTGTGTACAATAGCCGTCGTGTCATACCCTTTGGGGCCGTGAGGCGTGTGGCCACGCCACGCTATGCCACGCCTCACCACGCCTCGCTATGCCACTCCACGCCACGCCACGCCACGCCACGCCACCAGAGCGAAGGCCACCAATTTCATTCATTCCCCTGCTGCGGCTGGTCTCTGGCTTCGCCGGCCCCGCCTGGCTCGGCTCATGTAGGCCCGGCCCCGGCTGAGGCCGGCCCGGCTCGGCGCCGCTCGGCTCGGCACACAGCCGATGAGATGCGGCGTAATGCTGGGTGCGTTTGATGTGAGGCCGCGCGGTGCCCCGCCTCGCCCCTCCTCGCCTCGACACGCCACGCCACGCCACGACCGGCCGCATCACTCGAATCAAACGCCTCCCTCTCCCTCACCATGCGGCTGCAGTGCAGCTGGTGGCACTTGGAATTGCGGACCCATCGATGTAAAAGAAATACCAGTTAAGAAGAATAAGATATGGCTTTTATTATGGGGAGCCGTCGTGTGCGACAGAAAGGGGAACAACGGGGCGGATCATCAGCAGCACGCAAAAAGGGCGTGGATGACGGCCACCCCGTGAGCGCGCAGCATGGGTCCGGCGGCGCAAAGTGCTCGTGCCGTCAGAGGGGTCAAAGGCTGCGGGCGGGTGACGCGCCTTAAGGCAGAGGAACAGTTGTCCGGGACCGAGGAAAAACACGAGCCGATGCGCACCTCCACGTCAACACGTGCAACCGGGGCGGATCAGATGACACGTACCGGTGGAGACACGGCGGTCCGACGCGGTCCTACGGTGTGCTGCGGTGTATCCCTGTGTCCGCGACCCACCACAACACTTGCACTGTACACTGGCACTGGCGCGAGCTGAGCGAGCCTGACCACGTGGGGTCCTGGTCCTGGCGCCGGGCCGGGCACGAGCCGGGCACGAGCCGGGCGTAGCGCAGCGGCGGTGTGGGCGGCGCGAGCCGAGCGGAGCCAGCGGGGCCAGCGGAGCGGTCCGGGAGGCCTGAGGTGCTCCTGTCGCGAGCGGCGCGCCAACCCGACTGAGCGCGCGCGCGGCCCGC